GCTTATAGTCTATATTCCTCTCTCTTAAAAGTCTTTGCTTCCTTGCTACAGATAGATGTTTCTACAAAAAGTCCTGATTAGCCCTCATGTTTCAAGTTAAGGATATGCTGCCATTAATTTTAACGTGTGTCCTAGACCCTATAGATATCATATTCCTGATACCTAAACTTTTCTCTCTATATTATATATATATTAAATATAATTCAAATATTAGCGCACCCACAGTTTCACTGGTGAATCCAGGGCCACCTTTAAGCTTTTGCACACCTGTGCTCTCACAATGGAGTTTATTCAGCCCCTGCTTTTATCTGTGCCATCAGAGATACTCAGAACCGACCAGAACATGCCATGAGCAACGTCGATGCAAGTTGGCCAGGTCCAAGCAGGGGATTGGACCCACTGCCTTCCAGAGGTCACTGCCCACCTCAGCTGTTCTCTGGTTCTAAGCAACAGTGACTGCAGCCTGCTTACCAGACCATAGCACCGCAGGACAGTTGGGGCTGGCAGGATCCTTAGTAGGTCTCCAGAGCAGGCTCAGCCACGGGGTCAGACCAAGTTGCTAACGGGGTTATCCTGTGGGGGCTTGAAACCCTTCAAGGAGGGAGATGGCACCACCTCCCTGGGCCCCGGCCCTGCCCAGCTGTTCTCACGGGGAAAAAACTTTCCCCTATCTCCAGCCTCTCTGGCCCTTGCTGCCCACCAGGGCCCAGGGCCTTCTCCCCAGAGCTGCCCCTGGTCTCACTGACATGGCTGCCGGGCCTCTGCCTGCCCAGGGCATGGCTGCCCTTTGCTCCTGCCCCAAGTGCGTGGGGGCCCTGTCCTTTCATCCTACCAGTCCAGGTCCCTCTGGATAGCCACCCTGCCCTCTGTCCTGGTTTCAGCAGGGATAGAGTTAATTTTCTTCCTAGTAGCTGGTACAGTGCTGTGCTTTGGATTTAGGATGAGAACAATGTTGACAACGCACCGATGTTTTAGTTGTCTCTAAGCAGTGCTTACACTAGTCAAGGACTTTCCAGCTTCCCCCGCTCTACCGACTGAGAAGGCTGGAGGTGCACAAGAAGCTGGGAGGGGGC